ACAGGCATTTGAGTCCGTTAAGGGTCGGCTGGTAGCCGATCCGGTGCTAACCTGCCCGGATTTCTCGAAGAAGTTTGTGTTGCAGACGGACGCCAGCGACTATGGATTGGGAGCGATTCTCACCCAAGAAACGGAGAAGGGCGAAAGGGTGATCTCATACGCCAGCCGAACGCTGAACAGTGCGGAGAAGAATTACTCGGCTACAGAGAAGGAATGCCTGGCAATTGTGTGGGCCATCAGGAAGCTCAAACCCTATTTGGAAGGGTATCACTTCAAGGTGGTCACCGACCACATGGCATTGAAATGGCTCAACAGCATAGAGAGCCCGACGGGGAGAATCGCAAGATGGGCGCTAGAGTTACAGCAATACGACTTCGAAATAGCGTATAGGAAGGGGAAGCAGAACATGGTGGCTGACGGGCTATCTCGACAGCCCATGGAAGAGCGATGTATGCGAGCGGAGGACGTTGGACAGGAGCCCGAAGAGCAATGCTCATGGATAAAGAAGGTCAAGGAGAAGATGAGAAGGGAGCCGGCCAAGTTCCCAGATTATGTGGAGGAGGCAGGCGGGGTGTACCGGCATATCCCGCACCGGGCCGGCGACGAAGAAGTAGTAGCTTGGAAGCTTTGCGTGCCGAAGGATCGACGGGAGCGGGTCATGAGGGAGAACCACGATATCCCGGAGGCGGGTCACGCCGGCGGCAGGAAGATGATGGCAAGGATAGCTGCCAGGTACTACTGGCCGGGGATGCACCGAGACGTGAGGACGTAAGTCAGGAAGTGTGACACCTGCATGCGTTTCAAACCAAGTCAACCTGACACAAGTACCAGAGGAACCATGGGCGACGGTGTGCGCGGATTTTGTGGGACCATTGCCCAGATCAAAACGCGGCAACGCCATGCTATTGGTGCTGGTGGACCGGTTTTCAAAATGGACCGAGCTGGTGCCAATGAGAAAGGCCACGGCAGAAGCCCTGATAAAGGCTTTCAGAGAACGAATATTGGCCCGGTTCGGCGTACCCAAGGTGATGATCACCGACAATGGGGTACAATTCACCAGTCGGGCGTTTAAAAAGTTTCTGGATCAGATGGGAGTTCGACACCAGTTTACGGCACCGTACACGCCGCAAGAAAACCCGACGGAACGCACCAACAGAACGGTGAAAACCATGATCGCGCAGTTCACCGAAGGGGACCAGAGATGCTGGGACGAGAAGTGGCCCGAGTTAATGCTGGCCGTGAACTCTGGGGTCACTGAGTCCACTGGATTCGCACCAGCATTCATAGTGCAAGGGAGAGAGCCCAGGCTGCCGAAGGCGTTGTACGATGAGGAAACACTCGGCACTGGTCAGGAGACAAACACTCCGGACGAACACGCGGTAAAACTGAAAGAAATTTTTCAGCTGGTGAGGCGGAATTTGGAAAGAGCAGCCCAGGATCAGGCAAGATATTAAAACTTGCGAAAGAGAGCTTGAAAGCCCAAGGTCGGTGAAAATGTGTGGGTTAAACAGCACCACCTGTCTAACGCAGCAGAGGGGTTCGCAGCAAAATTGGCCCCAAGGTATGCCGGTCCCTACCAGATCACTGATTTCGTGTCACCGGTGATATGCAAGCTGCGTAGAGACAGCGATAGGCATACACGGACGGCACATATTGGGGATCTAAAGCCACAGGCAAACGACGACGGAAAATAAGGAATCAGAAACGGGCGGAGAGATCCAGAAGCCAAAGGCGTTCGGCTGACCGAGACCCGGGCGGAGAGATACCCTCGGGGGTCCAGTGAAGTGGGAGTGATAATCCGGGTCCTGGGGTCCAGTGTGCCTGGGTCATCTACAACCGTCGGGCTTGGCCGGGCAGAAGACACTACCCACGCGTTGCTGACGGGCGAGGAGTCGGATGATCCTCGGGTCCGAAGCAGCTGCATGGGGCAGAGGTCACGCCAAAGGCCAAACCGAAGGCGGCAATGAGGTGACGAGCCAGGGCCGATCGTCATGATGTAGTCAGGGGCAGGCATGACGATTGGCATCACGGATCAAGGATGCAAGATGGGCTGGACATGAGATCACGCCACCAGCCCGGTCCCGTTAAGAACGTGAGGGAATCAAGCGAAGAGGCCGATGGCAGCGGTCCAGCGCATGTCCATGTATGGACATGAGATCACGCCACCAGCCCGGTCCCGTTAAGAACGTGAGGGAATCAAGCGAAGAGGCCGATGGAAAATTACCAGCGGCGCACGGATTTACCGCTGTTGCTAGGCAGAGGCGCGCTAGCGTCGAAGCGAGGGTATAAGAGGAGCCCGGCAACAGTGAAGGAGGACGGTCAGTGGAGTGCGAGCAACGAGGAAAAAGCGTGAACACAAGCGAGTGCGAGAGACCAACTGACAAGGAAAGTCAACGTGAGAGTCGAAAGAAGAATCAAAGTGACCCATCCAACAGGCAGCAGTACGCCCCGGGAACAAGGTCTGCGAGGTGCCAAAGGAGGGGCGACAGGTACCGCTTCCGCAAAGGCGATCAAAAGCGACTCAGTGGGTGCGGAGTTGTGTGTGTAGATCAGGCGTGAGCCAGGTCGGACGCATAGCCACAGCACCAGCGAGGAGCCTGAGGCGAGAGCGAGAGAGCGTATAGAGCTAAAGAAACGATCAATTTTTGTATAGAACGTAAGATCCCATAAGTATAAGATACCAATAAAACACCCACAGCCAGTAATTAAACCCACCCGTGCATTCTTTTGTGTCTGTGAGGCAACATACAAATTTGTTGCAACGAACCGTCGGCCGCTGAGCCAGCCTCGCTGATTTAGACGGACAGAAACAGTTCGTTACAATATATATATATATACTTATATATAAAATATAAGTATTAGACTGATACTCTCTGCACACTGAGTCCATCCTGGGGGAACGGTGGGATATTTTGAAAGAAACACCGATTCACATTGACACCATCCACCATCCATGAGAAACAGCTGTTGCTCACAATTGCGTGCGGTGAAAATTTGTTTACTTTAATTAAAATGAATATAAATAACAATTTTAATGGTCGTGAATGTGATTCAGCAGCAAAACATATTCTTGCACAAGCTAATCATGTTGTTGGACATGGACGATGATGATGAGGATAACTTTGACGAGGAGGAGATAATAGAATGGATATCTGTTTTGAAAACACTGAAGCCCGGAAGGTTGTGGTCATTTGTGAGTGCTTCTAATAAATGCAACCAATGTTTAAAGTACAAATATATATGTTAAGTTTTTCAGAAGCGGTTCGGTACATTTTGGGAGAAGGATGTACCCGAAAACAACGAAGCGTTTTTTAAGGAAAGTTTTAGGATGGAGAGATCCTGCTTTTCTCTGTTGGTTACTCGCTTGGAAGTGCTACGGAAGAAGGACGCAAACTGCCGAGCTGCAATTCCTCTGGAGAAGCGTATCGCCATATCTTTATATACTTTGGGATCTTCTTCTGAGTACCGAACAGTCGGTAGGCTTTTCGGAGTGTCAGCCAAAATCGTCTGCAATATCCTGCATGAGTTTTGCAGAGCATTCATCAACGAATTCTCAGAGGAATACATGTCCAAAAACTATCTCACTTCAGAGAAAATTAACGAGTGTGTCCAACCATTTGAAGAAATTGGGTTTCCTCAGTGCCTGGTGCAATTGGTAATAATGCAATAAAATCATCCATAATATATGTATATACATATATGTAAATTAATTTCATCACTTAATTTTTATGTTAGATGGATGTCACATCGAAATAAAACCACCTGCAGCTGATATTTGATATTTTTTTTATTTTTTGCGTGCTTTGTGAGATCTGATGGGGTTATTTTGTTTTATTTTAATATTTTCCTGTCTGTCATTGTTTACATTTTCGTAGTGATCTCCGATTTTTTGTTGTGAAATATGGTTGCATTTGACAATTATCGAAAAAATACCGCACTGAAACGTGAGAATTAGGAACATCCCAGATGGATGGTGGAATAGCTGGAAAATTTTCGTAACGGCAAAACCTTACGGACCATCCCAGAAATGGATGGTGGATGGTCCCCAGTGTGAAAAGGCTATGAGGTCGAAAGTTAAATCCAAAAACAAATTTATTGCAACAAAATCAAAAATATAATATACTTCAAGAAAAAATAACTAAAATATAAGATGAATTCCTTTTTTCTCTATTTTTACCCATATGCTAACACGTAAAAAGTTAACTCAAATGTTAATTTGTCCAATCCTTTCGTTCCAAACTTTCAATTGTGACAATTTTTCTGGCATTAGACGATTTCGAAGTGGGGTGATTGTCCGACCAGCAGCAGAGAATAGTCGTTCGCATGGAACTGACGTAGCTACAATGGGTAATACATCAAGCGCAATTTTGTAGAGAGCAGGATATGTATCCTTGTTTGAAGCCCATACTTGTAGGGGATTCGATTTTGGATCTGCCAATGACGACGTTAAATAGTGAAACATTTCATCCCTTTCGTGCATTACTGGAGTTTGCTGCTTATGGAGCTCAGTTACCATTTGCCAAAACTAAGTTTGATTGTCGTCAACGTCCTTGTTTTCCCTTTGTTTGAGACGAGAAAATAGGTCGATATATCGTAAGAAATATCGATGTTTTCGGCTAATATCGCTGTGCATATCATATCGTTTTGAACTTAAATATCGCATTTAAGTATCGATATATCGATATTGCCATATCGATACCCATCCTTTGGTGTGCCAATCTCCAAAAAACGAATTAGATTCGATGCGAAGAATTTTCTGTAATCCAAGAGTAATCAAAAGTCGAAGGGGTTCGGTTGAGTACTAGCCAATAACTATTTATTCGGTATCTAAGTGCATGAGCAATGAGCATAAGCGGTGGTGAGAGTAACAAGGAGCGTAAGGTCGACTACAAAGCGAGGGTCATTCAAGTGATTATTCATTTAAGTTCAAACATATAATTCAAGATTTTATGACAGTAAGAGTTTGACCGAACAGAATCGTAGAAATTGACCATATCTAACCGATTGCTGAATCGCCCAAACGCAGTAAGAGCTGACTAATCACTGCCAACCTAAATAAAATTGCATTTGTTAAGGAATCCCAAATCTGTTATGGAGCGTAACTGTATTTTAAATTTAATTAAACGATTATACATTTTCACTAATACCTTAAAATAAGTTTGTCGCTATTAGATCTCAACATAAGTAGTGGATAGAGCATTTTTTAACTCTACATCTTTTTTAAAGTAAACATATGCATAAATTAATTCGGTACTCAACATTAGTATAGAAATAATAATTCCACCTACAAGAAATAAGTTTAAGCAAAACTAATTTTACAGAATCAATTTTAACTTACAAATCAACACAATGAAAGCTGCTAGAGCCCCTGATAAGGTTACTGGATATACAGTGTAAAATGATTGACAGGTAGGCTTTCTAATTTGTCGTCGGCGAAGGATTCGTTCCACGAAACCACTTTCCCGTGCCGAACACATTCTAAAATAAGGAGTTTTAAAAAATTAAATTTAAATGTTGTGAATGAAAAGTACTTACGCTACTCGGAAAAGTTCAGTATATTGGCTGTTTTTGTGCAATATCCAATTTAGCATTTCTACATCCATTAGGCCGGATACCTCGCGTAGATCACAAATTTCACTAGCATCAAATAATTCAGCAATCAAAGGATAGGCGTCCACTACCTCACAGTGAAATGCAAAACCACCTAATTTGATATATGGCACAGCTTCTTCAATATGTGCAAAAACTGATATTTTACCCAAAGATCTTGATGAGGACAATTTGGTTTTTATTAGTCTGGTTAAAGCTGGGTTTTTACTTTCCTTGAAAAAAATATAAATAGTATAATAACAGTTTGTTTAATGACAAGCTATAAGATAACTTACTCGAAATAATACTTTATAGTAACCAATGTCTTCAAAAGATATTGTAAGTGAGCTAGATGTTATATCATCAACAGTAGCTGGGCCTTTATCGGAAGAACTTAACAATCCACCAACCACAGAAGAAGTATAATAGTTATACATTACAAGTGAAAATAAAAATATTGTTATTACGACAAAACGCGATGGATGATCTTTTGGGATAGGGTCCAAGCCCTGTTGGCATAGAGCTGCAAACGTTTGCAAGACCCGTTCAGCCCAACTAGATTTGGTTTGAATTTTTAATGTGTAATATTTCTGGGGTTCAGATATGTTGTTGATTTTGAAATTATGATTTGTAGGACTCAATTTGCTGTTTATAATTTCAAATAGCACCCAAATTATGCTAAACACTGTTAGCGAAACAAGAATCAAAATCCAAACCGCTTTGCTAAAGGGAGCCAAGAAATTACCACTTTTTCCATGAGTATCTAAATCTGGAGTAAATCTATAAATAAATGCGGTTTCAAATTTCCAGCTCTGATGTATTATATCAAACTCCGCAAAACGGTTAATTCGATTGAATGCTCCAGATGCTGCAATGTCTGCCTCGTTTCGTTTAATAATTCCTAGAAGTCCAAGGCGAAATGTAGTGTTACCTAGTCTTCCAGCCCATCCTCTTGAGTTACGAAAATTAACAGAGAAATTAAAACGATCCCGTAAAAGTCCCAAAAGTTCATAGTGATATTTTATAAAGGCGGCCACTCCCGAATCTTTTGTTGGCCGCGAAAGTATAGCTTCGATTTGTTTAGTTGTAGTTATATCCTCTTTGTCAATCTACCATAAAAAAGAGAATAAACACAATCGATTAACTTCCGAACTAATACAGTCAAAAGTATCAAAATCTCTATATATGCTTCTTCTTTTATTGAGTTAGATTGAGAAAAAGAACAAAGTGGTGGTGGGGTGTGGGTTAGAGGAAGTGAAAGTTAGAGCAAGTGGTTCTGTGAATAGAGGGGTTGGCCTGTAAGTTACCGAAAGAAGAAGAAGAGAATATAATATAGAGATGAGGTCTTTTTTTTCGGTAATACTACTTCTACTGAGTTAGAAGGAGAAGAATAAGAGTGTTTGGGGGTTTGGTTTGCGTTAGAGGAAGAATTAAAAGATGAGGGGGTGTGTCTGTAAGTTAGCGAGAGAGGAAGAAGAGGCACAGAAAATAAAATATCGTTCGGAATGTCACTGCTGTACTTCTACTTCTAATAACATTACATTGGATTCAATTTTTTTTTGGCTAACAATTCGTTTTATATCATTCATTTTGGTATCAATGCAAAATTATAATGTGTTAATAATGTGCTGTGATCAGAAGAATGGTTGTGTGAGCGAGCGAACTGGGGCTGGCGCTCGAGCGAAGCGAGTGCGCAGGGAACTTGCCTCCTAGTATTTTTTACTACAAATAACACTATGCAACAAAAACAAAATTTTTTATCTGGAACGAAACCAATTATTTCTGATGTCTTAAACTTATATTTAAATAGTTGTGTATATAGTTGGAAATTCTTTTTCGTATTTATTAATAAATACATGTAATACATGTAAGCAGCAAAGGCAGAGGAATAACATAGAAGAGAAGAAGAGCAGCAGAAGAAGAGTAGTAAGAAGAGATTCGAAGCAGCTGGACGTATTGTTGAACAGCAGTAGAAGAAATTAGCCGATATCAAGCAGTTACAGAAAGCCCAATTATTCTTACAATTACCTGTGCACTGCGATTTAATATTAATAAAACTATATCTAAATAATATCTTACATTTGAAGGCTCAACCGGTCGCGTATTGCCAGCGTAATGAAAAACAAAATTTGTATAAAGCGAGACAGAAGAACAGTTGTGTGCAGAGGAAGCAAGACAGCACGTCATCGAAAAGAAGAACCGTGAACAAACGGTTTTTATACCCGTACTCAAAAAAGAGTTAAGGGGTATATTAGATTTGTGGTAAAAGTGGATGTGTGCAACGCAGAGAAGGAAACGTTTCCGACCCCATAAAGTATATATATTCTTGATCAGCATCAATAGCCGAGTCTATATAGCCATTGCCGTCTGTCCGTCCGTCTGTCCGACTGTCCGTCTGTCCGTCCGTCCGTCTTGATGAGCGCCTGGATCTCAGAGACTATAAGAGCTAGAGAAACCAAATTTGATTTCCAGACTCATGTGATATCACACTGCTACAAGTGTATTTCAAAATTTCGCCCCGCCCCCTTCCGCCCACACAAAGGACGAAAATCTGTGGCAGGCACAGTTTTAAAGATACGATAAAACTAAAAACGCAGTATCGTTGAGAACGCCCATATCTACCAGATTGCCGAATCTGAATCAGATCGGGTCATAATTATAGCCAGAATGAAGAAATTAATTTTCAGTTGCTTCCCCTCCCCCTCCCGACCTAGACAACGCAACTCATTTTCCTTCTCGCTCGCACACTCTGCCGCGTTCAGTGCGCGAGCAACCCCTAGCGGAGGAGATGTAGAATCTAAATGGTACTTGTACAAACTACATGTTAGATGTAGAATAGACATTGTAGATGAGATGTAGATAACAAATGTAGCAAAAAAATGTAAAATGTAAAATTTTTTTTTTAATTCTAAGAAATCATGCTCAAAAATGTATATAATGAATGAGTACGGGTATAAGTAGAGTCGCGTCCCCAGAAGCGACTCACACGTTCCTTCTCGTTCCAAGTAGGCATCCACTAAAATATTGCGCAGCAGAATTATAAAATAAAATAGAAGTGTACCACCAGCCGAGAATATGCAGCAAAACAAAGACCCAAAAGGATCAGGGGCAGGCGGGAATAATCGCCTAAACTACACAGGCAATGAAGCGATGAGTTCAACAGTCCTAGAAGAAAACACACTGACGCTCCAACAGCTGGTTTAACTTCTCTCGATGATAGCACTACCCGACAAAATCGAACTTTTTTTCCCTCCAAACCGACTTTTTCTGATAGATATGGGGCTTTAAATTTTTTTAAAGAATTATGGTTTTTTTTTATGCAGAACTTTTTTTGAAGAATTTTTTAGTCTACTATTTTTTTAAAGCTTTTTTTAGAGGTAGCGCTTGTTTTTTTCACATAACTCTAGTATCTTACGTCTGGTTGTAAATAACTTTTGAAAAGATAATTAAAACAGCTAGAAGTTAAGCCCAAACACTTTGTGATTTCAGTTTACCGTCCGGGAAATATAAAGCATTGAAATGCAAAAATGATGATTTTTGTGCGGTATTTTTTACGAAATTTTGACTTTAAAAACTCTGTCCTCTATTTTTTTGTGTATAGGTGCAGTAATTTGGCGTCGTTTAAGGTATCGCTCATTAAAATCTATGGAGAGACTTTGGAGCTAAAATTCGTTAACCAAACCTAAAAAATGAAAAATATGAACAAAAAATACCTTTTGGAAGGTTGCGTCATTTTTAACATTTTTTTAAATAATATGTCACTAAAAGTCCATTTCCTGCACTCCCACTTTGACTTTTTTCCGACAAACCTAGGCGACGTTAGTTATGAACACGGAGAGAGATTTGATCAACAATTTAAATCTATGGAACAACGTTATCAAGGTGTTTGGAATGAGAACATGATGGGCGACTATGTGTGGAATCTCATAAGGAAATCTGGTTCGAATACAAAAGGAAGACAGCCAGAAAACTTAAATTATTTAAAAAAATGTTAAAAAGCATTAGCAAACCAAATGTATCACTTATGTCTAAAAACTTGTAGCAACATAACACCAAATAAAAAAGTTTGTATATCCTTAGAATTGACTGAAAAGACTAAAAATTACTGATTGTTGTATGGGTTAAGGAATGCAATCCCATATCTCAGGTATTTCTACTTTGGTTTTATTGAAATATGATTAGGTAGACGCGACGAGATCCAATTTGTGTGGACCTGTACTTGTGAGAATATAAAGGAAACATTTGACCTGAATAGGTATCCTACCTCAGATAACGAAAAAAGGAACTGTCAACAACATTTCATACCAAAGGAACGCGATCAGGTACCAAATGTACAACCCTTTTTCGTTTGCTTTGTTCCCAGTTGTTGGCAGTTGGGCCCGCAACCTTCCAAAAGGTATTTTTTGTTAAATTTTTTAATTTTATAGGTTTGGTTAACGAATTTTAGCTCCAAAGTCTCTCCATAGATTTTAATGAGCGATACCTTAAACGACGCCAAATTAATGCACCTATACACAAAAAAACAGAGGACAGAGTTTTTAAAGTCAAAATTTCGTAAAAAATACCGCACAAAAATCATCATTTTTGCATTTCAATGCTTTATATTTCCCAGACGGTAAGCTGAAATCACAAAGTGTTTGGGCTTAACTTCTAGCTGTTTTAATTATCTTTTCAAAAGTTCTTTACAACAAGACGTAAGATACTAGAGTTATGTAAAAAAAACAAGCGCTACCTTTGAAAAAAGCTTAAAAAAAAATACCAGACTTCAAAAAGTCTTCAAAAAAGTTCTGCCATAGAAAAAAAAATATCATCAAACCATTTCTAAGCCCCAAACTTTAAGAAAAAGTTGGTTTTGTTCCTTGAGGAAAAATCGTGCGGGTAGTGTAGCACAAGGAAACAAAATTGAACTTTTTTTGTGTTGATTGAAAACTGATTGAAGTTGTTTTACTATATTGAGGTCGCTGATTTCAAATATGATCTCCATTTTTTTTCCATCAGATCGCGTTACAGGTATTAATAGTATTATTGAATTTTTTCCATCAACAAAAGTTCAAAGAGTTAAAACTTTACTCCTCATTCAGCGATTTTCAATATAATTATTTTGCAAAGCTAACAGTTACATTATTAACGAGAAGGAACGTGTGAGTCGCTTCTGGGGACGCGACTCTACTTATACCCGTACTCAGTCAGTATATACATTTTTAAACTTATGATTTTTTAGAATTTTAAAATAAAAACACAACACATTTTTACATTTTACATTTTTTTTACTACATCTGCTATCTACATCTACAATGTATATTCTACATCTAACATGTAGATTGTACATGTTCCATTTAGATTCTACATCTCCTCCGCTAGGGGTTGCTCGCGCAATGAACGCGGCAGAGTGTGCGAGCAAGAAGGAAAATGAGTTGCATGGTCGTTGGCAGGAGGGGGCAGGGGCAGCAACTGAAAATTAATTTCTTCATTCTGGCTATAATTATGATCCGATCTGATAAAGATTCGGCAATCTGATAGATATGGGCATTCTCTACGATACTGCGTTTTATCGTATCTTTAAAACTGTGCCTGCCACAGATTTTCGTCCTTTGTGTGGGCGGAAGGGGGCGGGGCGAAATTTTGAAATACACTTGTAGCAGTGTGATATCACATGAGTCTGGAAACCAAATTTGGTTTCTCTAGCTCTTATAGTCTCTGAGATCCAGGCGCTCATCAAGACGGACGGACGGACAGACGGACATGGCTATATCGACTCGGCTATTGATGCTGATCAAGAATATATATACTTTATGGGGTCGGAAACGTTTCCTTCTCTGCGTTGCACACATCCACTTTAACCACAAATCTAATATACCCCTTAACTCTTTTTTGAGTACGGGTATAAAAACCAAGTACAGGTTTGGATCAGCATCCCCAATTACCTTAAAAACAACATTCAGTTCTTAATCAACAAAACCATTGTTCCCTTGTGTAATTAGTGCTGATGAAATTGTCAAGAAAAACGATGCAAAGCTGGTAGTGGAAAACTTTGCCTAATTAGTCCAGAATTCAGTGGAGAAAATATGTCGGTACGGCAGTGGTTTAATAACTTCGAACTAAACGCTAA